AGTGGAAAGTTGAGGGTTCCCCCGTTTGAAGTTAATAATGATTGCAAATATTTCACTGTACCTGATGAGCACCGCAGTGAGGGTGTTGAGAATGCTGACTTTGTGCTCTACGTGGCAGCCGGTACCAGAGACCCGTTTGGTGTTACTTGTGCCGTGGAAAATTCAACGGGTCGTCCAATCGTTGGAGCAATGAATTACGTTCCCCAATTACAGGATGGCATTCGGTTTGATGTTCGCCGTGTTGCACGCGAGATTGCACACGCACTGGGATTCAGTTTTGTAGAGATGGAGAAGAAAGGCATTGTGACCGAAGTGGAGCTCCGTGGCGAGAAACGTAAGGTGGTGAGCTCCACAAAGACAGTGGAAAAAGCACAAAAACACTACAATTGTTCTAATTTGAAGGGAATGGAACTAGAGGTTTACAGTTACGGTACACAATATCACTGGGCAAGGCGCATTGCGAAGGATGAGTTGATGGCCCTGTCGTACTTCAATAACGGCGGTTATTACACAGCACTCACAATGGCATTATTTGAGGATCTGCAGTACTACAAGGCAAACTGGGGAATGGAGGAACAAATGAGCTGGGGGAATCAGAGTGGATGTGACTTTCTTCAGGAAAGGTGCATGGAGAAGAATAATAAAGTACGGTATCCCGAATATTTCTGTAATGAAACGATTTTTCGATGCACGTCAGACCGCATTGCGTATTCTTCTTGCCATGTACCATCCAGTATGTATCTTGAGAATAAAGACATTTGTCGAGTAACTGAGAATTATGGTTCTGTTGATGTTGATAACAAAACTGTATATCTGCCGCTTGCTCTTTGTACTGATAATAAGACTGATACCGTTAAACTCCCTGGATCAATTATGGGACCTGATTCATGGTGTCTGGATGCTGAACTGACAGTTAAGGGCGACGCTGCTAGTGCAATTTTGAACCAGAATGGTGTGTGTGCACGGGTGTTGTGTGACTATGAGAAGCGAACAGTTAAGGTGCAGTACAAGGGTAGCAACACATTTACAGAATGTTCCGAAGGTTCCTCAATCGATGTCAAATCTTCTGTGTTCGAAAGCGGTAAGATCAAGTGCCCCAAGTACGATGAGGTGTGTACCATCGCATACAACGGCAGCAGTCATGTTCCATTTGTTGTTAATCGACCTCCAGCAGCAACGGCAGAAGAATCCGCATCATTTGGGGACACATCTGTGCAGGGAGATCAGGGAAATAACGGTACCACTATTAATTCACGCAGCAGAAGGGATACTACTGCTGTTACTTCTTCCACAACTTCCAATAACACTCAGGCTGCTGCCGCTGCAGGTGTGACCTCACCAAGTGGAGAAGAGAATGCAAACACCAATGCGCTGTCACAATATCCAGGGGT